TTTTATCCCTATTTTCGACCCAATATCCATAGCAAATTGATCACGTAACCGACCTAATTGTCTTCGTTCGATAATTGTTGTCTTTTAATTTGTTGATTTAACTTTATTTCATTACATAAAGCTAATCCTTCTTGTGTGCAAACACCTATTAGATGACCATATGTATAATCATCATAAGGAATGTAAGGAAAATCTTTCCTAAGAACTTTTCTTATTCGTTCAAAAAACGAGTTGGTAAGCCATCTATAAATTTAGCTTTCCAATAAGAGCTATTACTTTCTGTAATTCCATGACTCTTGATAAGAATGAATCTTTATACCATCTAAAAGAAGTAAGTGTTTTACACTTAAAATTATTCAACAATGTTCGAATATTTTCTTGATTATTAGTAAATTTTCCAGAGAAATGTTGTAATATGGATGCTATCAAAGTATATACTGCATCTTCCATCATAATGGGTGTAGATGTTCCTTCATTCTCAATTTTTACTGTATTATAAATTTGTTGTCTATCATTTTCAGTTAAATAATTATCCCACCATCCTTTAAGGACACCAAGTAAAACCACAAACTATCATTTTGCGATTGCACGATCGTATTACCATTTGCTTTTGCAATCGAGGAGTACATTAACATCCTATGCACCATATTAGTTAATTGCCTATCCGTAAACGCGTCACAATTCCATTCATAAACGTAACGACTACTATAACTATTAGTAATTTCTTGATGTTCTTCGTAAAGAAGATCTTGTGGAGAAGGTCGAGGTAATAATAATGATTCATATAAGGTTTATTAGCAAATTTATTATGTCTAGATCTATTAGAAAGACGATTTATTTCATCTCGTAGAGTTTTATCAAAATCTTTCGTATATTCTCGAAAATTCTAAAGTAGATAATTTAAGGTTTTTAAATTTTTCTTCCAATAATTTTTCTAATACATATGGAGATTCAAGATTATAATCTTTTACTATAGGAGGAGGTTGTATAAAATTTTGTATTTTAATATCTTTATTTTTGTTTTCAATTAAAACTGGTTTAACTGTTTGTTGAAGATTATTAATAAGAGAAAATAATTTGTCAACTTTATCATGTAAAGAATTAATTTGTTCTCCTAAAATTTTTACATATAAATTTGTATAATTATTTTGCTGAATGAATTTATTTACTAAAGAAACAGTAGAAGGTAAAACTTCACTTTCAACCAATTTTTGAAAGGCGTAAAAGTTATATGAGTTGCATTTGTTAAAACAAATTCTTTTGGGGAGGGTAAATTCCTTTTGTAATTTTTCCATCTGCAAGATGATATTCTCTTTCGAGGAGGAAAATATATTTATCAAGATAAGTGATTATAAACCACGGGACAAAATATATTATTTGATTGTGAAAAGAAGCATATTCATAAAATTCTTTTGTATAAGTTTTTGATTTTCAATATTATAAGTAGAAAAGAACCATTCTCTGAAAAGTTTCCACTTTTCGATTGAAATTCTTGTCTTATTATTTGTCTAATATTAGATCCTGGACTAAAATCTAATTTCTCGGATTCGCCATGATAACCCATTTCGAAGGTGAAGGCATATCCTTATCAAATGTCTTACTATCACAGACCGAACAATATTATATGGATCAATTTTTACTTGATTTATTCTATTTGTTAGATCTATTTCAGAATCGAAGATGTCGAAAATTTATGAGAATCGACTGGATCTATATAAGATTTAAAAGATCTTAGAGAGCTGGATCTTAGTAATTTAGGAATTTTTGGTTTATCAAAAGTAATACTTATCGACCATTATCGATTGCTCAATTTCGTAACATTACAACTTGTAATATTATGAGTTAATGAGTTTCCTTTAATTCCTTTATTAATTTGCCAAGACTCGGAAATTCAATTTCTTCCCATTTTATAGTTTTACGGGTACTAATTTGAGATTTATAAAAATTAGTTTCTATTAGTATGGTTTCATCGGATGGTTTACTTATAATCTTACATCCGGGTGTTAAGGTATTTAATAATTTAAAACAAATACGGTAATGTAAACAAATAAGTTCACTTCCGGTAAATAATTGTAACCATGTAATTTCACATTTAAGGTTAAAGCATCGAGTATATTAACATCGACAATGATAGTGTAAATTTGGGTAGACATTAAAATAAACTGGACCATGAGCTAGGTGGATCAGTATTATGCCCATTAGGGATTTTTTCCAATTTAAATTTCTACCATCACGTAAGGCAAAACAAAAGATTCAGTAAACCTTCTAAAGTTAAAGGTTTAAATGCAATTTGCACCAATCCAATATGCATGAACTTATAATTTTTATGAGATCTATAAGATTCAATATCTCGTAGAGACAAAAGTTGTAAAACCCTTTCATCGAATTTAAAGCAATTGATTGTTCAAGAGTTTTAACTACTGTTTAACCAAGTATCGATCAAACATACCATATTCATACAAAGTATTAGTGGGTACCTTTGGTATTGACCACTTATTAAGAAGAGCAAGTTGTTGAGGCATATCATATTCCTCTTGAACTGAATTTTTTATTGAAGTACTTTCTAAATTATTCATTTTTAATTAGGTTCTGAATCAAACAAATCTTTTGTAAACATAAAAAATACATAACCGCTCTGATACCAAATTTGGCGTGGGGTTGGGGCCTGGCCAGTGCTTATCTTAGCCGGTAAGACCAGGCAAACAGACTAGCAAGGAAACCAGGCCGGAATCCAAACCACCACCCTGGCTGATACCATTCATCCGGGAGCTATGCCTTGTCAGCCAGCTACAGGATCAAAATCTCTATCCATCCTTAATTAAAATATCAATAATCGAGATGCATGGAAAAGTTTCACCCAACTCTCAAGCCTGTCTGGAATTCACAACTTATTGTGCATCATGTGGCCTCTTTTCCCTAAAACAATTCATCATAGCGGGTACTTTTCCACCCAATGCACTTATTGTTGAGTTTTCCGATGAACTCGGGATTGGAACCAATCTCAAATCATCGTATTTTAATTAAAAGAGAAGAAGGAGATAGAGCTTCCATGTATAATTTATGTAAACAAAAGCCAAATGTTTGATTCAGACAAAGGATTTACTCAGACATTGTCTGAGTACTTCAAACTATATCTTAAAACAAACTTAAAAGAAAATATTACCTTTAAAGGCTTCTTCAATGCTTCAAACTTGAAAGATATATTTACTATTCAGTTGATAAGCACTGGCCAGGCCCCAACCCCACGCCAAATTTGGTATCAGTTGATATTATATTTTTTTGGACATAGTGGATATTTACTATTTTTTTTTGGACATAGTGGATATTATATTTTTTTTTCAGTTGGAACATATAAGATGCAACATGATTTTAATTTCTTTTAAATATATTTGTTTATACTGTATACTGACCTAATTATAATTTTTTTTGAAAAAAAAAATTGGAGTTGAAAGTATTCTGCAACCTATAAAAGAAAAAAGTAGTATGTGACATTTTCTCCATAAAGAAATAAAAATGACAGTTTAAACTCAAAGTTTGTTAATCAATAAATAATATTGGAAGAAATGATTTACAATATCTTTTCGGATTTTGAGAAAAAATAACTAATCGTTAATCCTATGAAATTTTTGGTATGGATTCACTAATCAAATCCATATTGATATTGGTTCAAAATTTCCAATGATAAACATTAATATAAATGGTTTAATTTGATCCGAAGATTATGTAAGCTAATCTCTCCATTGACAAGTTGTTTATCGAATTTATGAAAAATTATAAATTAATTTTCTTTTCTTTTGTTAATGAAACTAAGATACTCCCTCCGTCCCATAATTATTGTCTAGTTTGGGTTTTAATTTTTAGTTCAAGTTGTACCAAAAGTGAAATCTCAAACTGGACAATAATTTTGGGACAGAGGGAGTAAAATTTTTCCAAATGAAATAATGTATCTCGGGGCTTAGTTTCGTTTTCCAAATTATAATACTTTTTGTTAACCTACATGGACTCTTTACTTTGCCATAAATATCTTAGTATTACCATTTCGAGTTGACATTGAATAAGTGTAGCACATATCCTCCTGTATTTGAACGAAAAGAAACTCATTCTTTCTAAAATTTGTCGAGTCCGACTATTGGATCCTCTGATCTATATGGCCACGGAGTTCATGTTAGCTTAGACTTTTTATACTCTTGCATGGTGTCAAGAACAAAAACATTCATTTCATGGAATTTTCTTTTATTCAAAATTTTAATAATTATTATCATAAATTATAATTTATGTACGTGATTAAATTTTACAAGTAGTTCATAAAATATTATAATCTAGCCCGCATATCGTGCGGGTTTAACATCTAGTAAAAGACTAATGAAAAATTCATTTATTTATGAGAAAATTCCATCATCGTTGATAAAGTTGCATTAAAAAATTTGGCTTCTTAATTAGTAATTATTTATTATTCCCTCCGTCCCATAATTATTGTCCACTTTGCCTAAAAAATTTTGTCCCAAAATTATTGTCCAATTTGACTTTTTTTGGATCAAGTTACACATTTGTCCTTAGTAAAAAACATTATCCATAAAATCTTAGTGGTTAAACAATTACTTATGTAGGGTATATGCGGTTGTTTAAGGTAAAATATAGTTAAGTTTGACAAAAAATAAAATCTTTCATTTTAGTAAAACTGGACAATATTATGGGACGGAGGGAGTATTAGAATTGGAGAAGATCTTTTAAATTTACTTTTATCATATTATAAGTTTCTTATACTAATAAATTAAAATTTTAGGGGCTAACTATATTAGTTTACAAGAGTTTTTGGTGTACTAAGAGAAAAATGTTTGTGTTTGATTCAAGATTTTTTTCCTCGTAAATTTAAAGTTCATGCCCTTTTGCTCGATATAATTTTTTTCATGTACAATATCCTTGCAAGTTGGTTGTAACTTGGAGACAGTTTTACCAACAATATATTTTTCTTTTTAATTAATTACATTTAAATAATAATAAGTAGTAATTAATTTTGGTTTCCGGATCTCAAACGTAGAGAACCATAACCGACTCCCCGTTAGGTTACGGGTCAGGTCTAATTTATCCCCAATTCCCAGGGTAAAAATATCAGAAGCGCTTTTCCGTCACTCCAACACTTGACAACGGAAGGCGCTGGCGGTCGATGGCGGTGAATTTTTCTCCTGCCTCCCTTTAGTTGGCATTGCTATATTACTATATACCTACTTCTTGTTACATAAATCCTTCTCGTACGGTTCTTCTATATCTCTAATAATCCTTCGGCTCCATTTTCTCGGCAAACGAAGAAGCTTCCGGTAAGTCTTTATAGTTTTCGATTTTTCTTCTTGTAATATATCGCGTGATTCGTTCTTTTTTTTTTTGAATTCCTCTGTTTGAAAATCGCTGTGTTTTTGTGATTGTTCCATTTGTTTCGCGTTTGCCGCATAAGTTTGGTTGCGATTTTTAGTTCAAAGGTTTGTGAACCTTGGCTCCGAGCTGTGTATGTTAGGGTTTGTAATTATTGTTTAGATTCATTCAAAACTACGCTTCTACAGTGTGTAATCATAGTTCAAGATTTGTTTGGATTCCAGTGTTGTAAAACCCTAGCTCGGACAGCATGGGTTTTATATGAATGCAAGAGTTTTATGTTTTTGTTTTTTCTATTTGGATTGCATCGGGTGCATAAACTGTAGCTTAGGCAGCTTGTTGTAAGAAACATATTCTGGGGTTTGTGGTTAGTGTTTTGGCTTATTGCTTGAGGTGGAACTTTGGGAATCTGACTTGTGTGTAATTGTTTTTGTTTGGTTGATAGTTATGTCGCATGTTGGTGGTGGTGCGGAGGCGCGTGCCCGTTTCAAACAGTATGAGTATAGAGCCAACTCCAGTCTTGTGCTCACCACTGACTCACGGCCTCGTGATACACATGAGCCTACTGGTGAGCCTGAGTCTCTTTATGGGAAGATAGACCCGAAGTCATTCGGTGACCGTGCGTCCAGGGGAAAGCCTCCGGAATTGGAAGAAAGTCGAAACAAGTCCAAGAGGAAGAAAGAGCGCGAGGCTTTGGATGCTTCCGATGCTGCGTTGTTGGCGTCCAGCAGACAGGCCAAGAGGAGGCGTTTTCTTGAGGAGGAGAGTGTGTTGAATTCGACTGACGAGGGTGTTTATCAGCCTAAAACAAAAGAAACCAGGGCTGCATATGAGGTTTTACTTGGTTTGATTCAAGAGCAGTTGGGTGGACAGCCTCTTAGTATTGTTAGTGGGGCTGCTGACGAAATCCTTGCCGTTCTTAAAAACAGCACTCTTAAGTCATCTGACAAGAAGAAGGAAATTGAGAAGCTCTTGAACCCTATCCCAGATGATGTCTTTACTAAAATGAACAACTGTGGATTACAAATCACAGATTACCATGATGGCGGCGATGCTCCTGCAGCCTCCAATGGTGATGAGGGTCTTGATGATAACGTTGGTGTTGCTGTTGAATTTGAGGAGAATGAAGAGGAGGAGGATGACAGTGACTATGATCAAGTTCAGGAAGATGAAGAGGAAGAAGATGATGGGCTCGACGCTGACGGTCGGGGGGCTATGCAGATGGGTGGGATTGATGATGATGAGATGCTGGATGCTAACAATGAAGGAATGACTTTGAATGTCCAGGACATTGATGCCTATTGGCTTCAAAGGAAAATTTCTCAGGCTTACGGTCAACAGATTGATCCTCAGCAAAGCCAACAGCTCGCTGAGGAGGTTCTCAAGATTCTTGCTGAGGGTGATGACCGTGAAGTCGAGACAAAACTGTTGGTGCATCTGCAGTTTGATAAATTTGATCTGGTCAAGTATATGCTGCGTAACCGGCTGAAGATAGTATGGTGCACTCGTTTGGCGAGGGCGGAAGATCAGGAAAAAAGGAACCAAATTGAAGAGCAGATGATGGCATTGGGCCCAGATCATACTGCAATTGTGGAGCAGTTGCATGCCACCAGGGCAAGTGCAAAAGAAAGGCAAAAAATTTTGGAAAAAAACATTAGAGAGGAGGCTCGCCGGTTGAAGGATGAAAGTGGAGGGGGAGGAGAGGAGGCGGAGCAGCTAGCCCGTAGGAGGGTTACCGAAAGAGATTCCGAGGGCAGCTGGTTGACTGGTCAACGCCAGGTGCTCGATCTCGAGACACTTGCTTCAAACCAGGGCAGTTTCTTGCGAACAAATAAAAAGTGTGAGCTTTCAGATGGTTCTTTCAGGAGGAACAAGAAAGGGTATGAAGAAATACATGTGCCTACCTTGAAGGCAAAACCATTAGGACCTGGTGAAGAGCTCGTGAAGATTTCTTCCATGCCTGACTGGGCTCAACCAGCCTTCAAAGGAATGACCCATTTAAATAGGGTTCAAAGTAGGGTTTACCAGACTGCCCTTTTCAGTGCAGATAATATCTTGTTATGTGCTCCTACCGGTGCTGGGAAAACCAATGTTGCAATGCTCACAATCTTACAGCAGATTGCCCTGAACAGAAACCCGGATGGGTCATTTAACCATGACAACTACAAAATTGTCTATGTCGCTCCGATGAAGGCTCTGGTTGCTGAAATTGTTGGTAACCTGTCCAACCGTCTTCAGCAGTATGATGTGAAGGTGAAAGAGCTCAGTGGAGACCAGTCTTTGACTCGTCAACAGATTGAGGAAACTCAGATCATTGTCACCACGCCTGAGAAGTGGGACATTATAACAAGAAAGTCTGGTGATCGTACATATACTCAGCTCGTCAAGTTACTTATTATTGATGAGATTCATTTGCTGCATGATAATCGAGGCCCTGTACTGGAGAGCATTGTTGCCAGAACTGTTAGACAAATTGAGACCACAAAGGAGCATATAAGATTGGTGGGCTTGTCGGCTACGCTCCCGAATTATGTGGATGTAGCCTTGTTTTTGCGGGTTGATGTGGAGAAAGGCCTGTTTCATTTTGACAACAGTTATCGGCCTGTTCCGCTGGCTCAGCAGTATATTGGAATCACAGTGAAGAAACCTCTGCAAAGGTTTCAAATGATGAATGATATTTGCTACGAGAAAGTAATCAGCAATGCAGGAAAGCATCAGGTTCTTATTTTCGTTCATTCCAGAAAAGAAACGGCCAAAACTGCTCGTGCTATACGAGATACCGCGCTAGCTAATGACACTCTCGGTAAATTTTTGAAAGAAGACAGCGCGAGCCGTGAAATTCTTCAGAGTCATACTGAGCTTGTAAAAAGCAATGATTTGAAGGACTTGTTACCCTATGGTTTTGCCGTTCATCATGCCGGATTGGTTAGAGCTGATCGGCAAATCGTTGAGGAGCTTTTTGCTGATGGACACGTACAAGTGTTGGTCTCCACTGCAACTCTGGCTTGGGGTGTTAATCTTCCTGCTCATACTGTCATTATCAAAGGTACTCAGATCTACAATCCTGAAAAGGGAGCATGGACTGAGTTGAGCGCTCTTGATGTCATGCAAATGCTTGGCCGTGCCGGGAGGCCTCAGTTTGATACTTACGGTGAAGGAATAATTATTACAATGCACTCTGAGCTACAGTATTATATGTGTCTGATGAATCAGCAACTTCCTATTGAAAGCCAGTTTGTATCAAAGTTGGCTGATCAGTTGAATGCAGAAATAGTCCTTGGAACTGTACAAAATGCCAAAGAAGCTTGTGTGTGGCTCCGTTATACATATCTCTTTGTTCGCATGGTTAGGAATCCCACCCTTTATGGTTTGCCAGCTGATGCTCTTCCTGCTGCGACGTCAGGAGAAAGCAAAGAGGATCTTGTAAGGAAGATTAGTGAAGCTGTAAATCTTTATTCAGCTGATCTGGTAAGCAAGGATCATTCTTTCATTCTAGTTTTGTACACTTTTTACTCTGTAACTGTCTATTTATTGTATCTGATTTCTATCCGTTTTATGCTTGCAGATCCATTCAGCAGCTACAATATTGGACAAGAACAACCTGGTGAAATATGACAGGAAAAGTGGGTATTTCCAGGTTACTGATTTGGGACGAATTGCAAGCTATTACTATATAACTCATGGCACAATTGCCACGTACAATGAGCATTTGAAGCCTACCATGGGTGATATTGAGCTTTGTCGTCTGTTTTCACTCAGTGAAGAGTTCAAGTACGTGACTGTTAGGCAAGACGAGAAGGCAGAATTGGCTAAGCTGATCGATAGAGTCCCGGTTCCCATCAAAGAGAGTCTTGAAGAACCCAGTGCCAAGATTAATGTTCTTCTTCAGGCATATATTGCACGATTGAAACTTGAAGGACTCTCGTTGACATCCGACATGGTTTTCATTACTCAGGTTCGCTTGCTGGTCTTTTTTTCTATTAAGTAATTTTGGAGGGGCCTTAAGTAAATTTGCTTCATATTTTTGTTTTTTCTTTTGGTTTTCTGCATATTAAAGTTTCCCTAATCTGCGTGGCAGAGTGCTGGGCGACTTATGCGGGCTTTATTTGAAATCGCTTTGAAACGAGGTTGGGCCCAGTTAGCTGAGAAGGCTTTGAAGTGGTGTAAGATGATCAACAAACGAATGTGGGGTGTCCAGACACCTCTGCGTCAGTTCCATGGGATTCCAACTGAACTTTGGAAGCAGCTGGAGAGGAGTAATTTCGATTGGGACCGGTACTATGACATGTCTGCTGAAGACTTGGGACAAATGATACGTATTGCGAAGATGGGCAGATTGCTCCACAAATTCATTCATCAGTTCCCAAAGCTTAATTTATCTGCTCGTGTCCAGCCGATCACTAGATCTGTTTTGAAGTTTGAACTTACTATCACACCAGATTTCCAGTGGGATGACAAAGTGCATGGATTTGTTGAACCTTTTTGGGTTATTGTGGAGGATAACGATGGAGAATACATCCTTCATCATGAATATTTTATGCTGAAGAAGCAATATATTGATGAAGATCACATTCTGGATTTTACGGTATCAGTTTATGAACCACTGCCGCCTCAGTACTTCATACGCGTGGTCTCAGATCGATGGCTTAGTTCCCAGAGCATTTTACCTGTTTCTTTCCGGCACCTTATTTTACCCGAAAAGTACCCTCCTCCTACGGAATTGTTGGATTTGCAACCTTTGCCTGTGACAGCTTTGCGAAATCCATCCTATGAAGCTTTGTACAAAGAATTCAAGAATTTCAATCCGGTCCAAACTCAGGTTTTCACGATCTTGTACAATTCGGATGATAATGTCCTTGTTGCTGCTCCAACGGGTAGTGGGAAGACAATTTGTGCGGAATTTGCCATATTGAGGAACCACCAGAAAAGTTCTGAAAGCACCATGCGTGCAGTATATATAGCCCCTATGGAGGCTCTTGCTAAAGAACGCTTTAAGGATTGGTCGAGGAAATTCGGAGATGGACTTGGGATGCGAGTGGTTGAACTGACCGGGGAAACAGCTACTGATTTGAAACTGCTCGAAAGAGGTCAGATAATTATCAGCACGCCAGAAAAATGGGACGCTTTGTCTCGTCGTTGGAAGCAGCGGAAATATGTCCAGCAGGTTAGCCTTTTCATTGTTGACGAACTTCACCTGATTGGCGGTCATGGTGGGCCAGTATTGGAAGTCATAGTTTCTAGGATGCGATACATCAATAGCCAGCTTGAGAACAAGATCCGCATTGTAGCTTTATCGACTTCTCTTGCTAATGCAAAGGATTTGGGAGAATGGATTGGGGCAACCTCTCATGGCCTTTTCAACTTCCCTCCAGGCGTGAGGCCTGTACCATTGGAGATACATATTCAGGGTATTGACATTGCGAATTTCGAAGCTCGGATGCAGGCTATGTCGAAACCTACTTACACAGCTATTGTTCAGCATGCCAAGAATGGGAAGCCTGCCATTGTTTTTGTTCCCACTAGGAAGCACACCCGCTTGACAGCTGTGGATCTGATGACATATGGAAGTGCTGATTCGGATCAGGGAATGTTCCTGTTGCAGTCTCCGGAAGAGCTGGAACCTTTCCTTGATAGGATCCAGGAACCCATGCTGAAAGAAACGCTTCGGTTTGGTGTGGGTTATTTGCATGAGGGTCTAACTAGTACTGATCAAGATATTGTAAAGACATTGTTTGAAACGGGATGGATTCAAGTTTGTGTTATGTGCAGTTCAATGTGTTGGGGTGTCCCTCTATCTGCACATCTGGTGGTGATTATGGGAACACAGCATTATGATGGCCGAGAAAATGCTCATACAGATTACCCGGTTACTGATTTGTTGCAGATGATGGGTCATGCCAGTCGACCTCTTGTTGATGATGCGGGGAAATGTGTTATCTTTTGCCATGCACCAAGGAAAGAATATTACATGAAGTTCTTATATGAGGCTTTCCCAGTTGAAAGCCACTTGCATCATTATCTGCACGATAATTTGAACGCTGAGGTAGTTGTTGAAGTCATTCAGAACAAGCAAGAAGCAGTTGATTACTTGACGTGGACCTTCATGTACAGGAGGCTGACGCAGAACCCGAATTACTATAATTTGCAGGGTGTTAGTCACAGGCATCTGTCTGACCATTTATCAGAGCTTATTGAGAATACTATCAGTGATCTTGAAGCAAGTAAATGTGTTCGAGTTGATGAAGATTTCTTGCTTTCGCCATTGAATCTTGGCATGATTGCGTCTTATTATTATATCAGTTACACAACCATTGAGCGATTCAGCTCCTCTTTGACCTCAAAAACTAAACTGAAAGGTTTATTGGATATCTTGGCCACAGCTTCGGAGTACGAGCAACTTCCGATACGACCTGGTGAGGAAGAGTTGATTAGGCAGTTGATCAATCATCAGCGTTTCTCATTTGATAAGCCAAAGCTCGGTGACCCTCATGTGAAGGCAAATGCTCTTCTGCAAGCCCACTTTTCTCGGCAAATCGTGAGGGGGAATCTGGCCACAGACCAGCAAGAGGTGCTCATTTCTGCAAGTCGTTTGCTTCAAGCAATGGTTGATGTTATTTCAAGCAGCGGTTGGCTTAGCCTTTGCCTTCTCGCTATGGAAGTATCTCAGATGGTAACTCAGGGCATGTGGGAACGTGATTCCATGCTATTACAACTCCCACATTTCACTAAGGAATTGGCAAAGAAGTGTCAAGAGAATCCTGGGAAGAGCATTGAGACTGTTTTTGATCTTGTGGAAATGGAGGACGACGAAAGGCGTGATCTCTTGCAGATGTCGGATACGCAGTTGATGGACATTGCTCGGTTTTGCAACCGTTTCCCGAACATTGACCTGTCATACGATGTGCCAAACAGTGATAATGTAAGTCCTGGAGAAGTTGTCAGTGTTCATGTGACCCTAGAAAGAGATCTTGAGGGACGGACTGAAGTGGGACCTGTGGATGCCCCCAGATACCCTAAAGCTAAGGAGGAAGGATGGTGGCTTGTGGTGGGCGACGTGAAAAACAACCAACTGGTGGCCATTAAAAGAGTTACACTCCAGAGGAAGTCAAAAAGCAGACTCGATTTTGAGGCTCCAGCAGAACCAGGAAAGAAGACATACACGCTGTACTTCATGTGTGATTCCTATCTAGGGTGTGACCAGGAGTATACCTTCAGTATTGATGTCAAAGAGGGCGATGCTTCTAGAGAAGACATGGATAGAGACTAAAGGTCTGTCTCTGATCTGTCATTTGGTTTATTCCTTTTTTTTTTTTTTGGGTTCATCAAGTTTCTCTTTCATTTGTTTTTTCTTGGGTTATAAAGGTCTTTTGTTTTGTTAAACTGGATATTTGTTTGGATGGTTGATTGATAGTCTCTCATCTTTTTGTATGCTTCAGATGTTGCTGAAATATTGAGGATTCAGTTTGAGGGGTGCCTGGGGATGAGAATGCTTGTTTTGGAGGTTCAATAAGGTATGAGACAATTGAGATTCATAACCTGTTATGAGTTTGGATTTGCAAACCATTGGGTTTTTTTTTTTTTCCTTTCGGTTCTGTTTGCTTTGTGTTGTACAAGTTAAATGTGGAATTGGGTGGAATTTTGGTAATGTTATGAAAACATTGAAGAGTGACGATGTATCTGCCTTTTGTGTTCCCAGCAGTTTAGCCTCTAGGTCTGTTAGGGAATATTTTCCAGGTGCAGGAAAATGGTCTGCAATTGGTTTCTTTTTTTAGAAACCATTTCTATTTTTTATTTTTATTTTTTTGCAACGTCAATTTCTTCAAAGATGAGATACCATGTATTCCCTTTTCCCCTGTTCCTGTTTTGTGCACCCCAAGTGTAAGCATGCATGATGAAATTGAATCATTTTGGCGGATTGTTACTGAAAGGACTTCTGTTAGGGTGGGGTCAGAGTTGCAAATTGTTGGTCTGCCTGAACGGATGTATATGCAGTGGTTTCTTCTTATTATTTTTTTTTTTAAAAAAGCTTGTTAGTCGAATATGCAGTCTCTTTTAAAGCTTTGCTCATATTGCAAAACTGTTCTACAGTTTGAAAACAGTGCACGTAATTCACAGGGTTCAAACTTCTTGGATAGTCTTTCCGGAAATCATTATTCAGGGAAATTGAATGTGAATTCAGCCACTTAAAGTTGTTGTGTCTTACAATTGTTAGGAATCTCTCCTTCTCCTAGTGCTTCTTAGCGTAGCAGTGGAGAATTATCTCGCATATTGTACTCAATTTAATCACATTGTGTTTATGCCGAGAATGTGGGCCTGTTTTCATGTTAGTACTTTAGATTGACTGTTCCATTTGCTCAGATTATGTGATCTTGATAGGAACTTAGGGTCTGTTTGATAATCACTGAAGTCTGAATCTGAACGCTTAACACTTAACACTGAAGTCTAAAGTCTTAAAACTGAATTTACATTGTTTGATAAAAACGTCTGAATATGATGTCTGAAGACTGAATCTGAATACTCATGTCTGAAAGTTATTTAAAATTTTAATATCATTAAAATTGAATTATAAACAAAATTCTTTTAAATAGAAAAATAACTAATATTTTGCTCTAAATAATAAAATAATAATTTTGAAATAAGTTTTTGTATATATAATGAAAGTAGATGTTACACTTGGTAAATAATCAACATATAATTATTTAGATTATTACATATATGTGTATACCTTGTTATTTAACAAATTTCATGTATTAAAATTAGTTTAATTTGAGTTTGAAAGTTTGAGATCTTTTATACACATAATATAAATTCAACTTAAGCACTCTTAATTAATTTATCTTAAGAAAATAAAAATTTTAAAAACAATGTAAAAATAAGCGACGAAATAAAGACGAGGGGAAAAAAAAGAAAATAGAAAAAAAAAAAAGAGTTACACACAAATTAAGTGATAAGTGATAAGTGATAGGCTTATCACTTATTTTCTGGCTTACAATTGAATTGGCCATTCAGACGCAATTAATTAATTCAGACAGTGAAATTTTAGTTATCAAACGCACTTAATTTATAAGTACTTAATTAGTTCAGAACTTAATTCATTAAGACTTTTTAGTAACGATTTTCAAACACACTTAATTTCATTAATTACTTAAATAAATTAAGTCACTATATTAAGTGATTATCAAACAAAGCCTTAGGTACTGTCAATAGCTAACATCAGAGTTATAGAATTTAAATTAGATGTTGCAATGTTGATAGGAATGTCAATGGCTGACATCGGAGTTGTAGGGTCTAACCTTCCCTTGTGAACTTTAAAAGCTGAATCCTTTGTTATTTTATTCCTTAGACCAAGAACTAATTTCCTTTGGTCTTTTCTTCTTATCGATGCAGAGAATGCTGTTGCCTTGTGGTCTTCTGTCGCAGCATGAAGAACGACTGGTAGATGTGGATTGTGTTCAACCTCCGCTGTGCTGCATGAACGGACAGTGCCTGCTCCAGTTGTTGTGTTGTCATCTGTTAATACTGTGGCGGTGTAGTTTTAGCTTATGTGTAGTCTTTTGCCTGCTGATGTTAATGGGATGAAAACTCAAGAAATTTTCTCTAGCAGTCTTTCTACATTCCACTCGCATAAGCTACACTGTTTAAAGTTTGAATTTACTTTGTAGCAAGTTGTGTATGTTCCTTTACAGATTCGGTTGGCTTGGTTTCTTTTTACTACGAAACCATTTATACTAAAACTAAGCTTTGTTCATTCCTTTCAAGTATCATCATTGTGCTGGATTTATCATGCTAAATTACAACTTGTCGGGTAAAGTGGTAAGAAGCTCGACATTTCTAACATGGCGACGTTGAGTTAGAAACTTAGAATAGATCATACTCAAATAATGTGTTTCTTCGTCTCAATCTAGTCGCAATATCTTTGTCGTTTAATTCTGTCCAAAAATGATCATTGAGGGAGAGGGAGTAGCAAATCATAGCAGCCAGAAGCAAATTGTGTCAGATTTTCGTTGAAAATACTATTTAGTCTTTCGTCCCGGCAATTTATCCGTCAGAAGATGATCATCTGTGAACTTCAGTTGAGTCATGAATACTCATCAAACTTCATTGTGGACTTTACTAGAACGAGGATCAGATATTAAGACAAAGAACCAAGCGAAAGTGCTCCATGCTCGTATGATCAGAACAATATGGCCAATTTCAGTACCTTTCTACTCCAAAATCCTTTCCATCTACTCAAAATTCAATCTTTTGGAATATGCTTTAGCCCTTTTCAACAAACTTGATTCCCCGCAACCCACCAAGGCCTGGAAATCCATAGTAAAATGCTACGCTTCCAGGGGTCGTTTCTCGAGCTCTGTAATTTCTTTTATTGATATGAAGGCTGCTGGACGCATCCCCGATCGGAATGTGTTCCCTTCTGTGTTGAAATCGTGCGTGCATTTGAGGGATTTAAAGCTTGGTGAGAGTGTTCATGGGTGTATCATTAGGCTTGGTTTGGATAGTGATCTTTATACTGGGAATGCGCTCATGAATATGTATGCAAAGTTACAGCTCTCGGGGAATGACATGAACGTGTTCGATGAAATTTCTCAGAGAATGATTGGGCTTCCTAATAATGTTATGAATGGAGGATATGGTTTGGGATACAATGGCAATGAAAGGATAACATGTGTTAGTTCTGAAGAGAGTAGAAAGATGGGATCTTTTGGAATGAATCCTGTCAGGAAAGTTTTTGAAACCATGCCTCTAAGAGATGTGGTCTCATGGAATACAGTTATCGGGGGACAGGTACAAAGTGCGAGTTTCAAGGAAGCTTTAGTTATGCTAAGGGAAATGGGAAATGCTGGTTTGAAGCCTGATTCATTTACTCTGTCTACTGTGCTTCCTGTCCTTACTAAGTGTGCTGATGTTGTGAAAGGAAAGGAAATTCATGGTTTTGCCATGAGGCATGGTTTCAGTGGAGATATCTTTATGGGAAGTAGTTTGATTGATATGTATGCAAGTTGCACGTGCGTAGAGGATGCATATAAACTGTTTTGTTCGTTACCTCAGCATGATCATGTTTCCTGGAACTCAATTATAGCAGCATGTGTGCATAATGGTATGTTTGATGATGTATTGAAATTGTTCAGGCAGATGGTAAGGGTTAATATTAGGCCTGTGGAGCATTCGTTTTCCATAATAATGCCAGCTTGTGCTCATCTGACTACCCAACATTTGGGGAAGCAGCTTCACTCATACATAATTAGAGCGGGATATGCAGAGAACATATATGTGGCCAGCTCATTGGTGGACTTGTACGCCAAATGCGGGCACATAAAAACAGCTCGATGGATCTTTGATAACATGGAAATACAAGACTCTGTTGCTTGGACAGCCATGATCATGGGTTACGCATCCCACGGACATGCTGCTGATGCCATCTCGTTATTTGAGAAAATGCAGATGGCTGGAGGGCGCCCCAATCCTGTGGTTTTTGTGGCAGTTTTGACTGCCTGTAGCCACGCCGGATTGGTTGATGAAGCTTCGAAATATTACGATCACATGACAAAAAATCACGGGATTGTTCCCTGGTTGGAACATTACAATGCCCTAGTTGATGTTCTTGGTCGCGCAGGAAGGCTGGAAGAAGCTTACAACTTCATCTGTTCCATGCATATCCATCCAACCGCGGCTGTTTGGTCCGCGCTACTGTCTGCATGCCGAGTTCACAAAAATATTGATTTGGCTGAGAAGGTTGCCGGAGAAATATTTAGGATTGACCCTAAAAATACAAGCGCTTATGCACTGTTATCAAGTATGTACAGCAATGCTGGGAGGTGGAAAGAGGCACAGAAGCTAAGAGCTAAAATGAGAAGTAAAGGGATGATAAAGGCATCAGCTTGTAGCTGGGTCGAAGTCAAGAACAAGGTTCATGCTATTGTGGCTGGAGATGAATCACACCCTCATTAATTAGTTCCATGAGGCATTGAAGATACATTAGAAACCGGTAAAACGAGAAAGGGTACATTGTCAATAATTGTAGTTCAACTGATCTTCAACATTTAAAGAGGAGCAAAAGAGATATATTATCATATACTACTATCTCTTAACAAATGAGTGACTTATACACACATATATTACTTACATAATTTTATCTCATAACATTTTGGAGGTGATAAGGTAAAATAAAGATTTTTTTGCCCTTTTCTAAAATTTATTAATCTTATTTACTAATTTCATTCTTACAAAAGTGGTATTTTTATGGGAGATTTTAAATTGAAGTTTTGAAATTGGACTTGTTAGATACATATAAAATTTATTATAAAATTGATAAGTAGGTGTGTGTGTGTGTGTGTGTGTATATATATATATATATATATATATAGAGAGAGAGAGAGAGAGAGAGAGAGAGAGAGAGAGAGAGAGAGGGGAGGGGGAGAGAGATTGAAAAGTCAAAATTTCATTACTTTAAAATATAAAGGCTACTTTTTCATAATAATTTCTAAAAGAAAGGTTCATTTTCCTTACAAAATATTTATTTATTTTTTTGGTGAAAAAAGGTTAAATTCATTAAGAGATTGAGTAAAAACGCATACAATAGTCACCATTACAACTCACTTTACTACTAACTAGGGTCCCTAGTTTAAGTATTTACACCAATGTACACCACTTGCACTAGACCAGTAAATAATTTTTCAGTATTCTTCTTTCTGCAACCTTCTATGGTGTACTCTGCTTACCCACCACTCTAACTCTGAGCTCATATTGCACAAGCTGTATCAACTCAGTGTCTTGCCTTGCTATTCCTGTGAAGATACGTCTGTTTCTTTCCTCCCAATGTGATAAATCAGTGCATTTAAAATAGCTCATAAGAGAGCTCTTTTCATCCTGGTTCCTTTCCAAATTTGCAATACCTGTGTTTGCCATCAATCCATCCTTCTGTCCAGCCTTCTATTCCCCAACCAATTCTGCATCTGCTGCAATAGATTATACGTATAACAACACTCAAAAAAGAAGTGACAGACTGTTTCTTCTTCTGTTAAGCTGAAAATACAGTGACTATCTACCACAGGAATAGCTAGAGTCTTCAACCTTTCTCTGCCCAGGATTCTTCACCTCCAAACCAGCCAGCTAATAAAAGAGTGTTTCGGCACGGTCAATGATGACCATACACAGAATGCTCCCAGCCATTTACCAGACCTCATCGTATACTTTCCATCAGCAGCAGCTCTGTTACCTACAAACCCAGCCTGTGCAAGGTCTCTGGTTTTTAAAATCTGCTTCCAGTGCCAACTACTATCTAACTTTTTGCTGAACATTCCACAAGTTGGCTTTTGCTAAATAAACAGAATGGATCCATTTGATCCACAAGCTATCAGCCTTCATTGCAATATACCAAACTTGTTTAAAAATGACAGCCCTGTTCCACACTCTAATATTCCTTATCCCTAACCCTCCTTCAGATTTTTTTTGACAAGCGTATTCGGAAACCCTTTCGATTCTTTAACATGTGGAGTCACTCTCCTCAATATTTGGAGGTGGTGAAGAAGAACTGGGAGATCCCTGACTAAAAAGATTGAAGCCTAAGTTAAAGCAGCTGAACAAGGAACACTTTGCTGATATAGTTTTTCAGGCTGACAGGGATCAACAGAGTCTACAACAATTACAGGAACTGTTGGCTAGTAACCCGAATGATAGTATCTTACAGGAGCATGAAAGACAAGAATATTTTCGATTTATTGCTTCAAGTAAGGCAGCTTTGAGTTTTTTGAAACAAAAGGTGGGAAATACTCCAGTAATACAAAATGTGGGGCGGTAAATTAGAAAATGAAATGGGAAAAGTTTGAAACACATACTATTAGGCTGGTCACAGAAGTCATTGCGGCGTCAGAATCAGGCCGACTCAAAAAAATGCTACCAGGACTGTAAAATCCGTAAACTCGCTCAGGAGAACGGTGAAGCATGCTATAATACCGCTCTACAAAAGCTTTACACACCACCTGAGCATTAGAGACGGCAGCACCAGCAGCAGCACTAGTATACTGCATTGCCATCTGCAAAAAAATCAATGAGAAACTTATCTCCTTCATTCAGATACCGTTTCACATATTCACAAATTCACCCATTAGACAGGCTAATAAATCAAAATCCGATTCACAAGAAGAAAAACAAAGGTAACAACAAAGCTTTCCCCAGGTTAATGTACTGAAGATTTTAGCTCTTTCGAAGGCACATTGCTTGATCATAATGAGAAAGCCAATAAAACAGCAGCACAGAAAAATTCTTTCTTTCTTTATGAGAGGACAGAATCATGAATGTGATTCTCCATCCCTAGCTACCTATAATCGCAACATTTATATACTCTCTCTCCGTCCCAAAATTATTATCCAGTTTAGATTTTTATGTTTAGTATAGATTAAATTAAAAATGAAAATCCATGGACAATAATTTTGAGACGGAGAGAATAATTAATAACAATAATTAATAACAACTGGTTGGTGAAAGTTTTATTTTGTGTTTCCAGTTGTAATAATTTAGTAATTAGTTTAGTGACTAGTTTAATGATTGTATTCTCCCGTCAGTCGTGGTTGGACGGTTTGTATCAATCAGAGTCGGCTGAGTTCCAGCAATCGTAATAAAGTTTCTCTCCTTAAAAAAAAAAAAAACTAACAATAACAATCGAATTCCTTTTCGAAAAACAATCTGATTTAAAATGAAAAAATCCCTTATTAAAAACAAGGACATAAACTATAATGAGCATGTATCTGATACGATCAATTTCAATACATGTATCACAATTTCAATAAAAAATGAAGTATTCAATTAGATCAACAAAAAATTACTACTATAAATTAACCCTCCAAAAGAAAACATTATTCGTTTATGTTTAATCAAAAAATGACAATTAAAAACCCATGAAGCAAATAAGCAGATAAAAGCTCGTCACTCGGTCAGTTTTACTAGTATTACGAAAATCGTAAATATTCAAGAACTGAACTGCATTATGATCGATATTGTACTCGAGAGTTCTTAGAAGATAAAATAAAGGGTTTTTCCGTGGGGTTTATTAAAGGCATCGAACAGAGGCATCTTTGAGATTTGGCAGAATAAAGTTTTATTTCTTTATGATCAACGACGATTTGACAGTTTTGTTGTGTGGCAGTTTCAATATTTACTTCTTTTTCTTGTTTTATTCTTTTTTTACCTTGAGCTCCCCAATTTTTCACTAAATAAAAATGTTCTACCTTCAATTTAGTAAAATTGCACAAATACTCCAATCTATTTTTTTTTTTTTAAAAAGGCCAATCTAATTTGGTAATGCTCACAATTGTGGGGGATTGTCTAATGTACTCCCTTTTAGGTTTAACTTAGAATATCTTTTTAATTGGAATAAAAATTTTAAAAATATTAAGTACTTTCCAAGTCTGAAAATTATTTGTTAAACTAAAATAATAAAAACTGAACCTTTATTTTTTTTTGTGCTAATCGAAAAAATAGATTAAATAAATAGTTAGAATGAATTACCGGCCACGAACCTAACTACAGTTTTAGTTATGATCTTCCTCGATCGAGCCTCTGAGTACAGATACAATGGGTGTGGTTAATCCAAATATTAGTTCTAAATGGATTGATGTTCATATCCCTGAGTTTTTGGACCTTTGAAACTTCACAAGAATTCTGAAAGCAAAGTGTTTTGAACCTGAATTTTTAATACCTTTTTAATTGGTTCTACTTAAGGATTTCCATTATAGAAACTGTTTTTTATTTTTTATTTTTAAAAATTTTTTGAAGAAGAAAATTAATATTGGTTCCATTTTAGAAAGTGTCATTACACTGGATATTTGGTTTTCTAGACTACGTAAATCTAGAATTTCGATGTATTTTCATCTACTTAGTTTTGATTTTCCTAAGAGATGCATCCTTGTTCTTCAATCTCTACTCCCTTGGCGTATAATAAAAGTTTCAAAGGCTAATACTATATATTAACGTGTTTTCTTTCCTTTTTTTTTTTTTTTTAAACTCTAATGATACAGTTTGCAGGAAACTACTAAACATTGTTTTACAAATTACAACGAAGGTGCAACGATATTGTTGAGAAAATGACCAGGTTAAATAATATGCAGCTGAAATCTATTAAAGGGTCGATTCTTACTTGTGACAAGTTTTACTCAAATATTTTAAAACACGGTATAATAATTACTTTAATGCTTCCGGGAAAAAGAAAATCCTTTTACCACAATATATTTAATTAATGTAGTTAACATATAGATTTTTTTTGCCAACCTGGACAATGAAATATGAACAGTTTTGAAGAGATGAATCCACGCAATCAGAAGCCATGTCATGGTCAAAGTTTCTAAAACCCTTGATTAGATCACCTTTTTTCTCACCGGACAAACCAAAAGATAGCATCATTTGATCAAATGCTTAATAATTCCTAATGTCCTGTTTGTTAATGGGAAAAAATGATTGAAAAGTTGATAAGATTAGGTCTCTTTGACCTGTATTATATAGTACATAATCAATATAACAGGGGTGGAAAAAGTATATATATTTACTTTTCCTGCCAAATCATGATACTAACGTTCCTAAAAAATCATATCAAATGCTTTGTAAATAGTTAAGCCGAACAACTTGAATTTTTCGTTATAAGAAAGTCATAATAAGGGTAATGCTGACTCTGGCGGATTTAGGGTGGGGCCAGGGGGGCCATGGTCCCCACCCCAAACCCTTAATATATATGTTTAAATTTTTTTGGATTATAAATGTAATTGTATTTAAATTTGTTATTTTTAATAGTTATTTTTCTAATTTGGACTCAAAATATAATTCATATTTCACTTTCTCTTAGTTTTGATTGGGCCTAACGCCTATAAAAAATGTTTTAAAGTAAAAGTGTCTTCATTTTTGTTATGTTTGGTCATGATTTTATAAGTATACAATGATGCAAAAATACTAAATTTGTTCAGTAGAATAAAGGATCTAAAACTTTAAACGTTAGCAAAATTTTTCTCATGTTATAACTTATTACATCTTCCTTCGTGCCCAGAAAAAAGTAAGGTGCTCTCTTTCTGATGTATATATATTTACAAAACTATATATTTAATTAATAAAAAATAATTAGTTTTATGTATGGGTTTTAACTATAGCAGGAAATGAGACTACTATTGAT